AAGGCAGGCCTTTAAATATATAAATCACATGTCCATAAGACACTCATAACAAGACAAAAAAGCAGTTCCATGTGTCTCCTGGAGCCGACTGGTAATAGCCTAAACAAAGCAAAGATGCTTCCACTCTGCTTTGACCAAACTGTGGCTGAGATGATGCTGGCCATGTTTATTTAGAGGCGAGAGTGCTGTCCAAGTCCTCGTCTAGATTCTTTGAAAAAATCCAAAACACAGACACATGCAATTACCATGAAATGTGCAAAATCTGTGTCTAACCTGCCAGCAGTCAAAAGTTATTAAGGTATTGATAGCCTGATGATGACCAATAAGGGTACATAAGAAGTTTCTTACTTTAATTTAGGGTCAGATTCTGTTCAATTATTCGCAGAATCAATCTATTTTTAGTTTGATCTCTGATTACAGTTCTACTTTTTTTCATAGAAAAATATATTCTGAATATTTTTTTTTCAATTTGATAAATCATACCAACAAAGGAATAGCAATTTGATGTTGTCATTCATATATGTCATCAAAATTGAATGCGTAGCTGAGTTTAACCAGCTATAAATTCATGATATTGCTCTATGTTTTTAACTTTGGAAGTTTCAAGATGTCAAATATCTGCAAAGTCAATGTACATGTGCCCTGTCGAACCTGAGCAGAAGCCCCTGGTAATTACGTCTCTGGCACACGCTCAGAAGTCAACAGGAAGTAGTAAGCGATAGATAAGTGTTTATGGTTTTGCCATCTCTGTCATGGTAAAATGAAAGAGTTTGATAGTAGCAGATTTTGTAAACGTCCTATTCCTCGGCTTCAAGACAGGTTTGTTTGGAGATTGGTGATGGATTAAAGGTTTTGCATCAAGCAGAGACCAGCAGTTTTTGGAGATCACAGGTTGTTCACCTTTAGTCATTAAAACTTTTATTATATATATCATTATCTCTCTCTCTTACTGTTCTAAAGATCAGAATGCATACTGATACTTATATAGGATCACCAGCAAATACTGATAAAAAAATTTGAATATAAAATTTTTAAACACTGATAAGCATATCTTATACTCTAAATGTTGACATTAAAATTCAACTATGGATTGAATTCAAATTAATGGCTGTATAATAATTGCTCTGCTTCTGCACTGTGAGTTGATACAGAAGAAAATAAACCCTTCCAGAGGTCATAAATGCCTCCAGTAAAATGTCCTGATATATAGAACACGCTTTGACAATTCTTTCTCATTTAAGGCTTGAAAAAGATTCCCCAATGATGGACTAATCACTGTTTTTAAGGGGACATTTTCTGTAGTGTCGTATATTACAGTAGGTCTGGGAAGAGGTAATGTGTTTCTGAGATTTTCGTTGGCAATGATTTCATTCTGTCACTGTCTCCAAGACTCCTGATTACAGGTTCTGTCGATTCCATAGATTTTGGTTTTAATTGCATGGACTGTCACATTGAAATATACCCATTTAGTACGAAGTATGTGTTTCCTAATATAGCTTTGAGTTGGACATCAATTTAGTGACCCTATCTGACCAGTTTATAAGAACTAACCAAAAATAAAATAGGAGGCATATGTTGAAGAATTTATCAATCACTTGAATGTAAAGTAAGATATATATAATTATCACAAACATGCTTGTCATGAATTTTGATTTTGTTTGAGTGGAGTGGCTAATACAGCTTATTTAGCCCTTGCTGTATCTTGTCTTGCTGAAAAACTTCCTCAAAAAAGAAAACATGCTAGAGTTTCGGCTTTATCAGTGACAGGGGTAACCCAGCCTCATGTTGGGGAATGACCAGTAACCCAGGACAGACATAAGATGCTGGTTATCTCAGGGAATGTCTTTCAGGGAAGATAGCACAGTGTTTACTGATCTACATGCTGAGGGCTCATCCTTACTGGATTCTGGGTCAAGTTACAGGTCTATACCTCAGATAGAACACACTTTATCTGTCAAGATAGTTCAGAAATGGGTTCCAGATGGGGTAGTCATTACTGAGGGGACAGTCTTGTGGTAAGAGTAATGGGGGAATAAATACTCATTGTTGCTGTATTATTTCTTCAATGGAGATTTATTGTTTTAGTTTATTTATTCTTTTGACTTTTGATATTTGTCACAGATAGTGTTCATATCATAAAAATTTTGTGCTTTATTACAAGTTTCAAATGGTAAATATTAAAGCATTCATCCTGAGATAAGTTCCCCCCATGGTAACCCCTGTTTGATGATCCCTGTCGCTTTCCTGTGTTTCATCTCTACCAGAAGGTAATTACACCTGCCTGGTACAGATATGACAGTCTGAATGCTGTGTCTAATCTACTAGTGGATGTCACTGAAGCAGAAGACACCTACCATATTTGGTCACATGATGTGGTCATATGACACATGCATGGTCACATGACAAGCTTGTGTGATGACACAGCTGGGAATTGAGTTTGGAATCAATTAGAGACAGACCCTGTGTGCTTTACTTACTTCACACCCAGAACTGTTGCTGATAGATTAAAGATAGATAAACCAGAAAATTGGTTAATGAACAGAGGGAGATAGATTTTCTGGGGGTCAGCAGTGGGGGGCTCTGTGTCTTTTTGTTTGATGATTTCAGAGTCGTATTGATGGAATGCAGTCAATGGTGCAGGCATCAGCTGTCCTACCTCCAATCTCTGGAAGACAAAAATCAGCTGCCAACTTAAGCATTTCTTATTTACATTGTTAGGAGAGTCTTGTCCAGGATGGTAAATAATGAGAAATTCCTGTAGAATGTCTCTAAATATTTTGGAGGTGCCACAGGTTTTGAAATATTAAGGCAGGTACATGAGTGCTTCATCGTTTCCTGATCTATAGTGAGATATGTCTGAAAATATTTTCCTCCATATGTTATTCCTACATTTAAATTTTTCCCCCTAATTTAAACTGGTCATTTTGAACTATTGGTTAAAGAAAAGTTGTTTGATATTTATGGCCTAAAATAGGATTATAGTTATATAGATATTAAGTTTTCTCTCAATAAGTGAGAGCAAAATAATAAGATATTAAGAGAAACAGTTTTGAAAATTTGGGAGCTGGGGTATTGTTTCAGATTGATTGTAAAGGGGAAGCAAGTGGGGTCTTACTTGAACTTTTTTTATTACTGGTTTTGTTGTAGAAATTTGACTCCTGACAAATTGTGTTGAAATGATGATCAATCTCCTTGCCAATGTCATCTAAGCAATAAATGGCCATTTAGAGTTAATCAGCAGAGTCCCTCATCTGGGTCCTTTGTATATTATTGGACATCCTACAGTGGATGTAAACCAATACAAATTGTCTATGACAAACAACTGAAATGGAAGACGTTTATCTTCAAAGTCGTTATTCAATTGTGTGTGTCCCCAAGATTGTCATCAATTTAGCTTTTATTGGAAAGCAGTAATTTCTGGTAATAAACAAGAGTTGATATGTTCCAGATGCTTTGTGACAAAACTCAGCCAAAATTAATACTCACTCAAGCAACAGGGGATAATGGACTTGTGTGTGTCTCCATTTGTTTTTATTGTTTCATCTATGATAATTGAAAGGAAATGCAATAAAGAAATTGGGACTTTTTCATTTTTTTTCTCCTTTGAAAATAGATTTTTATATATACTATGATGTGATAGTAATTTTGAAATAATAATGTTTAAGCATAAAAAATAAAATGGTGTAAAAGAAAAAGTGATTAGAAAGGATTGTTAGAAATAATGCAACTTGAAAATAAAGTACATTTACATTGTAGGAGAAAACAAGCCTCTCATGCAAAAATAAAATTTTATAAGAACATTTAGATTATCTCTGGTATGTCATTGCGAGTTTGGGGAGGAAAAAGACATGCAAGCTACTTTATAAATGTACAGCAATAATGAGCATTGGTAATGGATGATGGGTTCTAATCAGCCATCCATTATTATGAACTGTCATTTGGTCAGAAATAGGATGGAACATTATTAGGAGCTGGGAGACAGTAAGATGATGTCAATTTCCTTAGCTGAACCACTGATACCAGCAGTCAGAGTGTCACTTGGACCATAACTGCTGCAAGTTTGTGTCAATATATTTATATAGAGTACATGCATGTCCTTCGTTATTTGTCAACCAAGTCCTAAAATAAACTATTTTTTTCCTACTTGGATTGTGGAATGTTGGTGCGTCATCGGCCTGATTCTTTCTTGTGATAAGGACACAATTACATCACTTCCTCTAATGACAGACGATTCTTTGAAATATGGGACAAGACAAAGGACCTGAATTTATGAACCTGATCAAACTCTGGAATTCCATATACTTGAGGCTTCTCCCAGTTGTCAGCGGTGAAGGGCTGGTTGGTTTAAAAAGAGAAATATTAATACAGAGACTTGAATCTGTGGTATATAGCAGTAGGTAACAGGTGTTGATGGCAGTGATCAGTAAATCAGCTTGGCTGCTGCTGACTGGAACATCCTCGCTTATCAAACATCCTACTTTACTCTATCTGTCATCCTCGCCACTTCTTCCTTTGTCCTGTGTTTTTTAAGTGTGCATCAGACGCATCTCGAGTGTGACTGAGTTTGTCTTGATTTTGGAAACACGTATAGACAAGGTTCCCCGCTGACTTGTTCTGTACATTTGTCATCATTTCGTAATTTGATGTAAACCTAAAATCTGGTTTCCGGAGACTTGAGATTAATATTTAAGATCTTCAAAGAACTTTTTTATGTAGATTAAAGCTGATGTGTCGCATTTTGGTGCCTAGCACAATGATTATATTTCAGTGCATTCATGTCACTTATAAATGCTTCATTTAAAATATGAAATACAGATATATTTGTAATCAACTAGTAATTTAAGTCCAAAATTAATTCAAAATAATTAACTGTATCATGTAAGCTTTCATTTCAGAATTACTAAAAAAGAATTAAATGCACTTAATGTTTGACTTGTATTAAAGTTTCTGATTGTTGAATTTTTAAAATATATATAATAGTTGTGTCTTTTCTTTGACAGCTCTAGACAAGCTTGGTCACAGACACATTTTTAACCTCGGGATGTCGGTAGAAGTGGTGCAGCCTAACATCGTGTTTGACATTGCCAGTCTGATGCTGTATGGGACTCAGGCCACGCCCATCAGACTGAAGATTCTCCTGGATCGACTCTTCAGTGTTCTACAACATGAGGAGGTGCTGCAGGTCCTACAGGGGTTCGGATGGACCTATGAGGACTACGCCAGGGGCTACATTCTCCAGGTAAATAATTTTATGAAGCAATCAAAAGTACCCAAAACCCTGCTAGAACTTCAGGTCCTCAGAAGGTCATAGTTATCTCCAGATGTCTTAATTTTAGAACAAAATATTGGAATTTATTTAATATTGAATTATGATTTTTCATGAGGCAAGAATCACAATTGAATTATACAAATGCTAGCAATTTATTCACAGTGCTTTAATATCACTAGACAATATGTAATCTGGTCTATTTCACTCATTGGCATGGAAGTTTTACTGAACATGTGACATCCCTATTATTTTTTTATGAGTACACAATTTTTTGATTTCAATTGAGATCAAGTTTGTCAGTTGGAGTTAAATTGGAAAATTTTCTTCCTAGGTTTAATCTGATGAAAAGTTCTTCTCTCTGATCAGATTTTTAACAATGTGGCAAATCGTTTTTGTAGCATCCTAAAGCCATAAACCGGCACACATGTCTCAGTGGTGATTTTTACTTCAAACACAAAATCCTCTCTTGGCAAGTCATCAAAGTTTCTGAAGACAGATAGAGGCAAATTGAAATGGGAGGTTTTGTCAAATGTGCTTTTTCTTAAACATTCCATTATACCTTGTATTTGGTTGTATGGTTTTAATGTCATAACATGATTTTCACATTAAGACAAACTTTAGAGCACATTTACTTCTGGTGTATATATATAAGGAACATGTGTGTTTCTTTTCCAAGGTAATTACTGTACACAGGGGGACATGATATTTAGGAAGACCCCTGTACAGATAACTCAAATGCTATGCATTATTTACGCCACTTTGTAAATCACAGCCATTTTACATAAAAGCCTGTGGGAAGCCTGATTAGTTATTAGACACAATTGCTCGTTACTGCAAGTTATTTCAAAATTGCCTAAAAAACATTCTGACTTTGAAGAAGTCTTTGTAGATTTGCTTAGACAGAACCTTTCCCTTTCCAGAATAGTTGCCTACAGGTTTTTAATTGCAGGGACTGTTCGGAATGTGACAAATAGAATTTTCAAATTATCTTGTCATTAACAATTCTGCTATTTGATGAATATATACTTAACATTTTTGCTCCCATTCCATCACAGAAGAAAAATACTAATTTGTTCCTCTTCACTTATTCTAAAGTTAAAATGGCTTAGTTGTGATAAATGACAAAGACAAAAAATTTAAATAAATACATAAATTAAAAGGAAATTGAATGGGGGGAAACTTTGATATTAAAATGTATTTCCAAATTGAAAAGATAAAATTTCTTGATTAGAAATCTGTTGTTTATTTGCTGTTTGTTTCACAGAGAAAACATACAGGTTACAGCAGCAATCTGATTTTTGTTTTGGACAAGATAGAACATGTAGAAGTAGATATGTTAGATAGAGGGAGATTTTCCTCTAATATCACATCATATAGAGACACTCTCTTGTAACCCTACCGTGTAAACAGGTTTCATATGACGTGGGTATAGAGCTCAATACAAACATGATATATAAACAGTATGGGGCCTCTATCTTTTTGATTTTAGACAGGATTTGACGTCAATTTTAAGCATTTAGAAGAGCAGACTTGGTTTATTATCTTCACTGTCGACTGGAAGCTTTTTTTATTGATGGCATATTAAAGTCCTTAATATCAAAAGTTCTGTCCTGATCAAAGTCCTATAGATACTGGCTATGCCAGTGAAATCTTCTGTTTGATAAACACCTGATCGCTCTTGTTCCTCTGGTTCTGGAGATGGGGGATATTTTCTCTGATCGAAATGTCAAATGTCTTAAACTCTAGATTTAACTTTCTTATTGAAAAGATTTTTTTCTTCACATTTTGGTTTTTATTTAGTTCATCTACATCATGAAGTTTTTCTTATAGACTGAGGCCCATCACCTTAAAAATAATTTCTTATGTATTTCTGTATGGACATTATGCAGATGTATTAAGTTATATTTTTGATTTTATAATTATACAAGATGCATGTACATGCAAGATTTTTTTTTTAAATAAATAATTTTCCTTGTTAAAGGTCAGTGATCAAGGTATACTACCAAGGTTTTTTAAGGACGTATCATTATTTAGAAATTAGGTAGAAGCACAAATATTGTGAAGTTGCATATTTAAGCTTAGAGGAAGAGAAATATCTCTGTTGATTTCAATGTCAAAGATCATAAAAACTGTTAGAGCAATAGAATTAGTGAAACATTCTTTATTAAATTATGTTTGTATTACCTAATAAATAACTTGTAATCAAGGTCTATTAATAGATATTTTTTTTTTTTTAAATAAACATTTTTTTAAAGTTAAAACGACTGTTATATTTTACACATAAAAAGTCAGAAGAAAATGTTTGAACCATATATTTATTAATTTAAACTGTAGAAAATCTTCACAATCAAAGTAATATACTGGTAGCCATTGCTCCAAATGAGTCTTTTCTTTTGTCTATATGGTATATATAGCAGATGCCTTTAAACAATGAGAGATTGGCAGGTTGTCTTTGAATTCTTTCAGTTTCCATAAAATAAATTTCCAATTTGCATATAAAATTTGCTTATATAAATTTTTTGCCTTAAAACCAGTATAGGGGAAAAATGCATAGACAAAACATTCAGTGGGGACATGTTTCTGTAAGACAACATAGAGAGGGAGCAGCATTTTAGGTTTCAGTCTGACGATAATGTCCTTTTTGTATCAGCCTTTCTTATACCCCTGATACTCTTTGGTGTCTTGTTGGTAGAATTGCTGTTTTATTGTGTCCGAGAAAGAGCAATGGTGTCCAAATTATTACGATATGTATGGCCCTTATGAGACTTTTCCGTTGACTAGCAAGTTAATAAGGTCTGACTTGTAAACTAATAAGGATGGTTGTGTTCCGAGTTTTACGAGGGACTTGGGTGCTTCTTTTATTTGTAGCTTATACAAGTTTTTAATACAGTCCTGTTTTTATTGTCATTTTTGGGATATGGTTGACATAAAAATAGATAAGAAGTGTTATGGACATGCAAGGGAAATGAAAGCTAGACAAAGCAATGTGTCAGGAAGTAAGTCCGGGTGTCAGAAATGATGGCGGCGTGAACAGGGTCAGGGGCCTCTATTTATAGACAGTACACTGTCACAACTAGGAATTTCCACTTCCTCAAAATTCAATTTTTGCAAATTTTTTACACAAGAGAGTGATTATTTACACTACATTACAAACTCTTTGTCCTACTTTTAATAGTTTTTTGTGCTTTTTATTGTAAGACCCTCATTTCAAAGAAGGGTATAAGATTGTGTATTAATTTATCATAAAATTGAAGATAAGTAGATTTTAAAAATTCATTCGAATGAATTTTTTTTTAAAAAATAGAAGTTTTTGAATTATTCTGACGGAATGATATACAATCATTTCTCTTTTTTAGGACTCCAGTGGGCAGGTATTGGATAAGTGGGCTATTGCTTCTCGAGAGGAAGAACATGTCATTCTACAACAGTTTCTACGATTTGGAGAAACAAAATCAATTGCCCAGGAAATCATATTACAAGACAGCAAGGACCAACAAGAGCTGCTCTTCAAAGCGGGCAACCGCTCAGACTCTGAGATTAAAAAATTCATTGAACGAAACAATCACTCCATGCAAAACTATATGAGATCTCTTGATTCACGACATTTGTTTGGATCCCGGATTCCCTTTGTCCCTATTGATGGGCGTCTGTTGTCACCAGCATCTCTATCCAACTTCTCACCTCCTTCTTCAAGAGAGTTGAGACCTCCTGTTGTCACTGCTGGATTGACATCCTCTAGTCCAAGTTCAGGATCACCACTAGGGAGACTACAGACCATGCAGCCATTCGACTTCCGCCGAGACCAGGGAAGTCCTGCACTTAGTCCAGTTATCCCAGACAAACAATCGGGATCATCACCCAGCCTAAGCCCTAAAAATCTCAGCTCTACTCCTCCTTCTTCTCAGCCTGTGACTCCCCCATTTACTCCAGTAAAAGGACTGGAGAATCAGGACCATTCTCCTCTGTCCTTGACAAAAATCCCCATGACTCTGCCAATTCTTCCACCAAAAGACAATCAAGGGGTCAGTGCAATAGACTACTCCACAGCAAAGGACTCACCTGTCTCACCTAATTCAATCTTCTCAGACAGAAAGCTCAAGCATATCAGAAAATCAAATAATCCTGTCAAACGACAATGGAATCCCTCGCCTGGTTTTGGAAGCACATTCATTGGACCGAATGGAAAGAAACGTGTATTGTGCACAGCTTGTAACAAAACTTTCTGTGACAAGGGAGCCCTGAAAATTCACTACAGTGCAGTTCATTTAAAAGAAATGCACAGATGCACTGTGGATGGATGCAACATGATGTTCAGCTCTCGAAGAAGCCGAAACAGACATAGCGCAAACCCAAATCCCAAACTACACATGCCCCAGAAGCGAGTCAAAATGTCGGACAGCAACTCCTTGAATGATGACTCTGACAAATCACTGGCATGTAGTCCCCCACCTACAATGGTCATCCCTCCTACCTTGGGACCACAAGGAACAATTCCACCAATTGATGGAAAAGACATCCATCCAGCCAGTCAGGCAGCTTTCTATGCAGAACTAAATGCACACTTATCAATGTTTCCTACACCAGAAAAACGATACAAACTTTTTCACAATGATGAAGGTCCAAAGGATTTTAGCATGTTGAATAACAGGGACTCAAAACTGGAGTCGGATGGAGAGAGTCTGTCTGACAAAGAGGATCGACAGAAAATGGTATCACCCACTCAAAGAGCAAGCAGGCGAAAAAACAATATTCCCACTCGATACAAACAACCAGCAGAAAACTTCTCTGATGACAATTCAGATGAAAAAGACTCACCAAAAGAAGGTATTGATGAAGGAAAGTACTATCACAGAAGAAGCAAGATTGCCGAGTCTGTGGAAAATGAGAGATCGTCTAGTCCACAATCACAGAGATACTACCTCAATCTTTCCCTAGCAGACGGAGATCATTCAGACAAAAGAGAGGGAAATGATGCCAGTCCTTCACGCAGGGACTTTCCCAAAATTGTGTCCCTCTTATCCAAGTCTCCTGGCTATGATTCCCAGGAAGCCTTAGATTTCTCCAAGCCAAAGAAAAAAGTGGAAGAGGAATCAGAAATGGAGATTGACTTTAATACATCTGAGTCTAAAGAGTCCTTCTCTGAAAAATCAGATGAAGAATCTTCTACACAGAATAACAAGGAGGAGTTCCATGTATGTGACAGGTGTGACAAAAGCTTCTCCAATGATGCCTCCCTGCAATACCACATCAAGACCATGCATAAGAGTAGCAAAACCACCAAGTCTGACTTCAGCAATCGCAAAAGAAGGGCATCTAGAACAGAAGAGGAAAATGATGGTAGTGATGAAGAGAGAGAAAACAAAAGCATGAGAAAGGAAGATGAAGAAAATCACTATCCAATCAAATGTAATGGCACACAGAGTAATGGGAATGGGCTCTTACAGGAAGAAGAGGAGGATGATGGGAAGGGAGAGGAGGAAGAAGACAGAGATAGTGGGACTGAGCTGAACGAGATTTGTCTGGAGGAGAACGAGATATCTGTCAACTGCCATATCTGTGACTCCAAGTTTAAGGACAATTTAGCTCTCAAAGAACATTTTGAAGTGAACCATCCAAAAGAAATGTTTAATTGTACAGTCAAAGGGTGCGAAAAAATCTTCTCCACGCGAAAAAGCCGAAACAGGCACAGTCAAAACGACAATTTACATCGACATTTGTGTTCTGAGAAACAGAACGGAATAGTCTGAATCTCACTAGGAAACTTACTTATTGCTCTAGTGCTTTATTTATTCACTCATTGTTTTGTTAAAATATTTTGTAAATGATTTAACTTATTACAACTCACAAGCCAGCAAATTAAAAACACACATTAGAGAACTTACTGCTCAAAATAATGGAGGTATATAAGCTATGACTGTGTTGCACATTTTCATATCCTAAGAACATTTCTTTTAAAGGTTTATAAAAACAAATTGACTTTCTCTGTTACTGACCTTATTATAATTAATGAGAAAATACAGTGTGTTTCAGTTTATGAACCCATTATATGTCTATGCAAGCTAACTAAGGAGTTAAAAATAAAAACACATTCATTTAAGTCCATTCAATCAGTCATATATGCTTGGATGTTCACATAGTCAGTATTATTTACACACAGTTACATGCAATATATGTTTTCTAGATGTCTCAGTGTTGTGCATAATGTTGTGAATTTTTTTTTTGTTTAAATAAATCTCAGGTAAAATTGCACTCATGTAACTTCTAGTGATTAGCCGTGGTATGTTCATGTTAATGGAAAACCTTGTTAATTTGTTCTCTGTTGCAATACGAGAGTCCATCCATGTAATAATTGTAAGGAAAAAAACAAAAACAAAAATATATTTTACAAGGTTTTCATATGTTGTAACTGCATGCATCATACATGTATTATGTTTTTCTGTAGAAAGGGAAATAATCCAAAATCATGTCTCATAGTTTACATTTCTTTTTCAGTTTTTTTCACCAATATTATTGCAATGCTTGTAATGAAGTATTTTTGTAGTAATTTAATGGAAATGATATATATTAAACTACAATCCCTGATCACTTATCGGATGCAATATGTGTACAGGTCATATGACTTAGTAAATCTGTGTCAGTTGTGTGCTTGATTAATTATCACCTCCAACTTCTACATGGTGTGTATTGATTGTGGTGCACATTTTTTTTTTACTCAGTAGATAACAAAGTATAGGTTATAACTGAAAAAAAATAATGAAATAAATCTTTTTGAATCATTTTGCTATTTTATATCCAAGAACAACAATACAAGTACAGTGTTTTCCCTAAGAACCAGTTATAGTAAAACTCGGTTATAACGAAGTCACTGGGACCCATGAAATTACTTTGCTATATTGGTAATTTGTTATATCTGTATAAGGAATTCGTTAAATTTGTGTATTTTTGGATCCAAGAGAACTTCACTATATCTGTGTTCGTACTAAACGAGTTTTACTGTACCGGCAAAATTGACCGCTTCAATCAACAAAAATGCCGCTTTGAAATGAAAGAATACAATATGTAAATTTAATTGTTGTAAGGTTCACAGAGATTTGTCATAAACATCAACCTCTAGTCTGTTACAATTGATCTTTAACCCTTTATTTTGAAATAAAGGGAAAACACTGCAAGTCTAGTGGCTACTTTGAAAATTTGATATTCTTTAACTCTATCTGGCATTGTCAAAATTGTTGTTTATATGTTCCATGTTGATTTTTCTAGCAGTACATTACAATGGAGATGTTTTATGCCTAGTGAATTTTTGTAGACTTACAATTAACACTTAGTATTATGTTATTTTTTATTATCAATATTATGCACTTTTGAACAATATTATGCAAATATTTGTTTTTGTTATGACAAATATCTAGTCGATTTTATATATTATTTGAGCACATTTTATATTGATTTTGTCAATGAATGTTCAAGTCCTGCCAATTCAGAGTTGCCAAAACCTGTATATTGTTTTTCACACTTAGCTAGTCTAGACTGTGATATTTCTGCTGACAGTAACCTATATTCACCTGATAGTAACTTATATCCACCTCAGTCCTACTCAAGAACTTAACCCAGATTCAAGTGGAATTCAGACAAATCCTCTGCCCTAGATCCACAATTTAAAGATCTCTGTTCAGAATTATATATTATATATGTAATATATGTAATTCAAGATCTAATTGAAATCCATTATTGTTATGTATTATTAGGTATTCTTTATCACCTGGTTGAAACATTGAAACACAAATCAATTTGAATTGATCAGTAAAGTGGAACCTAAATATTATAACTTGTAGGTGTGTTGTCAGATTTCATCAAAATGTCTTGACATTTTTAATATGTCAGTAGGAAAAATGTCATCATTGATAAGAACTGGTTCATCACCATGATTTTGCTTTAACTTAATTGTACTTACAAATTGGAGTGTACTAATAATAATGATCTATATGTATTATATTTATATATTGGTCTCCAATTGTAATAACACATTGGAAAACTTTCATCATCAGATCTAGAGATACTGTGTGTTAGAAAGTCACTTTTGCCTCATATTGGGTTGTATTTTTTTTTAATAGGGCACCATACCAGATGTTTTTTTTCCAGTCATAAATAGTTTTCACTGTTCAGTATTGGATAGATGTGTTATATGTGCAATAGGCGAAATACAATGAATTCGTTATCATTTTATGCATAATTTATACAGACCACTTTTTGTAACAGTATTAGGTTTAGAATAAAGTTCTTGTATACACGACTAATGTTAATTTTTACTTTAAATCATTCTTAAATTTCAGTTGGGGAATTTTATGATTTGATTTGTGATTGTGATCCACACTTGAACAGTTTTGGTGTCATATACCAAATATGAAGTCTCTATATCTCATGGTTTAAAAGTTATGGAGAAAGTTCGAAAAGCTATTTTTAGCATATAGGTCACAGTCAAGGTCACAAGGCCATTGACCTTGATGTCATTTGCAAGAGCTTCATTAGCGGAGTATGCATACCAAATATGAAGTCTCTATCTCTCATTGTTCAAAAGTTATAGCGAAAGTTCGAAAAAAGCTATTTTTAGCATATAGGTCACAGTCAAGGTCATTGACCTTGGTGTCATTTGCAAGAACTTTATTGGTGGAGTATGCATACCAAATATGAAATCTCTATCTCTCATGGTTCAAAAGTAATGGCGAAGGTTAAATTTGACAACAGACAGACAAACAAACAGACAGGACAAAAACAATTTACGCCTCTGATCTATCGATCCCGGCGCATAAAAATGAAATTTAATATGGGAACTATAATCTAGAAAATTTTCAGCTATATATGGCGTATCTGAGCTAAAAAAAAAAAATAAATTGGTTTTTGTTTTAAATCACGGATATTTATGAAACTCGATTGATTTAGATTGTGTAATTGACAGTAAAGCCCTATCTTAATATAAAGTAACAAAACAAATAGAAAGATCTTCCTAATTTTATGTTTATTACATACTTAGTAATAAAATACAGCAACATTAATTTGAGAAGAAAATAAGTAAATATTTACCAAAAATATACATACGATTTGGGTTTGAAATGCACTCGAAATATAATCTATTATGTGTATTTGTAAATAAGATAACCTTATTTTCAAAAAGTTAAAATTAAGAGAATATGAACCTACCAAAAATTGTTTATGATCACAAGTACTGTTTTTGTGGTTTAATTTACACGTCTGTTTATGGACTGATATGCAGTAAAATGCAAAAAACCTGTATTTATTACTAAGTGTGTAAATAGAAAGATCTTCCTAATTTTAGTTAGTTCTTACCAAAAATATACCTGAAATAAACGAGATACAGTCTATTGAAGACATGTACATGTACGTAGTTACACGTCTGTTTTACTCCATGTCGAGATAATGAAGTTTACCTGTATATCACTTTAAGTGATCAATGTGTGTTCGATTTGTTAAACTCTGCACTCACCCAGAGCACGGACTGACAATACTGGTGAGTTGGTTTTGCTTTCTCATATTTCTACTTAGCTACAAAACTGTAGCTCTCTGCTTGAGAAATTTTGGACAGATAAAGCATTACCATTAATTGCTTTATCTGTCCGAATTATCTCAAGCAGAGAGCTACAGTTTTGCAGCTAATTTCTATTCTGAATTCTCTGGATTATAATCTTGTCTGGATTATAATCTTGATCTTTTTTTTTTAATAATACACTACAAAATTTCTTCTTTTCTAAGTGTGAAAGTGTTAGGATGTGTTAAACAAACGTATCCCGAAATTCGTAGTTGTTTCCAAATAATTTTTTATTACATGTATATATTATGAAATGCTATAGCAATATGTAAGTCCTGATAATATACAGATACAGGTATGTCATTCTATTCAACGATGAAACTGGATTCCCGGTTTGGTTCTCAGTTGTTTTATAACCAAAAACAAAACATGCGACAAGCTGATCGCTACAAGATTTCCCTACAAGGTGGTCTACAAAGATCTTGATCCAGGGTGCGTGAGGAGTCTGACGTATTTGATCGATGTATTAAAATTTAGAAACTACATGTATACTTTTTTATTCCATCCCCTCCCTTTAAATTTTCATTTTCTAATGAAATGAAATCGATCAAGTTTAAGGAAATATTCAACGTATATTAGGTCAAAATAAAAAATACCTTTGTTTCCCCTAACGCGACCGACCCATTAAATCGCACCGACTGAAAAGATTTTTTTAAATAAGATGATTCAAATTTTTTTTATTGTTAACCAAGTTTAATAAAATTCAATTTTATCAAAATCAATTTTTATCAGAACGGCCGGCATTGTTCTACTGTGATTTTCAATCTTTTGTTGGAAACAAAATGGCGCCCAGATGTGATATTACAGAGAATTAGTTCTTCATGATACAATGGTGACGTCTCAATCTTATGCCTTTATCTAATTAGAATTCTTCACTCTTGAAACAATTCGATAATAAAATTTACCATGACTTATTAAGAGTGTTTCGGAGGTGTCTTGGCGTTTCCATTTCAGTGAATAAATTTTCGAAAGGAACGTTAAACAACAAACAAACAAACAAACCTGTCTGTTGAATTTAGGGTACGTAATACATGGTAAGACCTGTCTCATGAGTAGATGAGAGGCCCACCTTGTGAACACATCATTCAATTTCACTGCATTTTATTTAATTTGAATTTTGATCTAATAACCAGTTCATCTATGTTGTTATGTTTACTGAATGTATATGCCATTATGGAACCAAAGGAGATCTAAATACAGAGTGTATGTATGCATATTAATCCTGATAAATATAATTCAGATGTCCTTTCTTCATTCCTTTATTTATGGGTAAAACTTCGTGACTATGAAATTGTATATAGCATTTTTATCATTATAGATTCGGTTTGGTTCAATTAAATATTGTTTACATTCTCTATCTAAGTAGTATTGATATCATGATTCAGCTTCCTGAGACGTCCCGTGTATTTTTCTTTAGTTAGGCCCTTGAAGATTGGTTTTTTCATCCCTCCTTTATTGGGACGACATTTGAACATTAACCCATTGCTCCAAATTTAGACGTACTCACAATGTTTAGCCATTAATCAGTGGGAGATCTTTTTTGAATCAACATCTTCTGCGACACTGGACACAAGTTTTTATGGTCCCTTTTGAAGGACCGTTTTCAACGTTTCTCATTGGGATTTGAACCTGAGACTTAAAATTAGCTGCTTGCTTCTTAACTCCAAAGCAAAATGCTCTAGAACCACTGCAAATCTCATGGCCCTTAAAAAGCCAAATTCACAAAAATGAGCTGAAAAAATATATTCAGATATCCGGTCTTTGCGTATTTTAGAATCTTGTCTTTTTATTTGATTTATATAAATGTCCTCTGGCGTTAGATATTTCACAAGTTCAACTAAATAACAGTTGTGAATTAAATTAATCATAGATTTTGCTTTTAAACGGCATATGTATGAGACGTAGCATTTTGTTCACAAATCACTTTCTTTTGTACTTTTCTTATTTATAAAGGCTTATATTATATAACCAAAAATCTCTTTCAGTGGGCATTTGAAAGATATCAATGGATAAAAATTCTTACAATAAAAATAAATAATAATAATAAAAATGTACAAAATTTATTAAACATATATTCTGCATGTTTTGTTTATCCAGTCTTGTTTCAGAAGAAGTGTAAAAAAGCATAAAGTTTAGTACTGGGGCTCTTCAACTCCAGGGGAAAAGACAATAAAGTTCAAACTACGTTGCGTAAGTCCTTAACTAGTGTCGTTGAGTGTGATTCATTTGAGAGGACTTTTAGCTAAAATTAAAGATGTACTTGATAAGTGGTGGATAATTTCTTTCTCTTTTAACCTCCGATAACCATGATAGATAGGAGTAAGTATTTGTCATGATCAAAATGAAGAATGAACATCTAGAAGAATGATGGAAAGTTTAAAAAGTTATATAAAGTCTTCACGTCCTTAAAAAGAGCAGTTTAATTAAGCGCTTGCGCATTATAATACACATGTATTTAGGCAATAGCAGTAAGCATCTGACTTTATTTCTAAAGAACTAAGTAACATTAAAAGATGTAAATAATTGACCTGGAGAAAGTTCAATTCCATAATTAATTTGGACACATCCATTTCCAATTTTCTATATTATCCATTGATTCAACCATAGAATATCATCTTAATAAACGCATTGTAAACGAAATTGATCTATTGTGTTTTTCATCATACATGTATATGCCGGGAATGTATCTTCCTCTTTCTTTCCTCCTCTTGCTGGGAATACTCGTTTCATTATTTATTCAAACTTGTTGAGACATGAGAACATATAACCCCCCTCCCACCACCCCAATGTAAAAAGAGTTCTGGGAAGCAAGTTCGAGGTAGGGAAATAGAACCATGCATATCCTTCGAAACCTTGACTGTCTAAAATTACTTCAAGTTCGAGTCTTAACTTTGATGTTGACATGTGTTAAAGATAAAAGGCTCTAGATTTGTCGTCACTACATGTATTTCAATGTCATACATGCATAAAGAATTGAAGGCTGCCCCCCCCCCCCCCACTTATAGTTACAGTATGGTCAAATAAATTAAATGTAGAAATTTTGCTACTGAAAGAAGCCCCCCCCCCCCACACACACACACTCACCCACAAAATCGGATTTTCGAGTTTGGGCGATAATTTTTTTTTTGTTGACAAGTTTTTCCAGGTAGGGTAAAAAAAATTTCACTGGCTGCCCCCCCCTTTCAAAATCGATGCTAAGTCACTGCATTTGCCGATGGAGATGGAAAGTACTTACTTACTTAACCATTGCGGATTTTGTCCTACATGTTTTATATTCTCCAAAGGACCGTCTGTCCCACTTACGCGCGTAAGGATCAACTTTGCCGTCGCTCTAACCACTGCGCCACGAGGGGCGACAAGGTATAGGAACATAACTTAGATTTGATACCAATGGAAAAGCAGTATGAATCAACATTTACAGAGAGCGACACATACAGGACCTCGATTTTTTACATGAAATGTTTATACTCTGATGAAAAAATTATTTTAAAACTATCAATATAAATGATAAGACACTGAAGGACCGGTCCGATTTTGTCCCACAATCGGACCGCATAAACGAACCCGCGCTTTACGTAAGGATTATCAAAAATCCTTACGCTAATGAACTATGTTCTTTGACTTATGAAGTTTTCGTCATTACTACTAATGTTTATTTTATATAGATAAAACTTCGTTTTATTTTTGTTGCTTTATTTAGCGTTTGTAACCAAAACTGCGTAACCACTTGAACAGGGGCGACAATAAGGTATATCTCAAAAGCGGTTGAGAGTAAGAACTATATTTTTGCACATAACTGAACAGGATCACATAGCCGGCAATTTGATACCAATGGAAAAGCAGTTTGAAAAATTAAAAATGTTTATCTAAGTGTGTTACACTGTAAAATACTATTCTATTTTTTTTTTTACTTTGTCTTCAAACACAAAAGTTGATGGAGGAGTTGTGAGAGGATTTCAAGTTCATATTTGTTTTCCAAGACAGCTAATTTATCCCTCTTTTATTATACGACACAGATTTCTATTTCCACTCTTGATGTCTTCCATAACAATATTTTTAAGTCTTATGTTTTTTAATTCTTTTATTAAATTTATCCAAAAACATCTATCTGTACACATTGCATTCTTGAATTTCCTAGGCACGAGATCCACAAACACAACAGAGAAGTCGAACCTGCAATACAAATTTCAACCAAATTTTAACATTTGGACATGTTTTCGAATTTGTTGAATTTCTAAGGTAAGGATATTTTTCTCAAAATAATGATTTAAAACACTCACCTATATCTAAAAAATAGGTAGATATCCACCACGGAAGCCATATCCCCCATATGGGTAGCCAAAACCTCCATAAGGATACCCGAATCCTCCGTAAGGGTAGCCGCCAAACCCTCCGTAGTAAGGCCTGTTAAATCCTCCCAGAAGACCTGCCCCAAGGAGTCCAAGGCCAATCCCTGCGAGTAAACCTCCTCCTCTCCTGCCCCTACGCCGACCACCAATTCGACCAAAGAGCTGGGCGTCACAGGAAGCAGTCAGGACAGAAGCCACCAAAACTAAAACCAAAAGCTGTTTGGAATTCATTCTGCTGAAAACAAACAAATCAAAAGTATTAACGATAAATCTAAACTCTGCTACAACCAAGGATCCATATACTAACTAAATATTATAAAATAGTGTATAAGTCCCCCCTACAACGCAACTCTAAAAATCTGTACTAAAACTAAATTAAAATTACGGTAATCAGAAATACACGAATTTTCTTGGCATATTTAAAACTCACAAATAAACTTAGATACTAGGTAATTCAAAAGATTTTTTAAAAAAAAGATTCCTTTAAAATTTTAAAAATCTTTACCAAAATCTTTCACGAATATAAAGAGTCATGTAGCATTAGAGATAATAGTCCCTTTACATATTCATATACTAGTAATGTACTCTACTGGAAAATGTGCTAGACGTGTCAGAATAAATAAATATATAAAATAAATGAATATAATCGCAAAACTACATTGGAAAGAACATACACGTCCGAAATGGAGTGACATACCGGTAATGAGTAATGTACAAAGTTATTGAATGGCACGTTAAAGATAATTAAGATAACAAGTTTTACAGAGAGAAAAAAGTTGTACATTTTTAAAAAATTTGAATTGAAATAAGCATTATTATCCACCCTTTTCTCGCTGTATTCCCTTTGACTTAGATGTTACTGCGTTCACTTAAGGTAAGCTGAGAGTTGAAAGGACCATCTTTCGTATTCCAATTATGAAAATTCTTGATGTACATTTAAAAAATCCATATTCTGTAGATATTTATGCTAAAGAGCGAATTGGCTAATTCACTCACCTGTGCTCGGATTATTAATGCCTTGGGAAGAATTTGGAGGATGCTCTACATACTAAAGCGTAAACACAGGTCCTTATATACGGTGTAGGGAGGAGTATGATCTATAATGTTTTTGAAGTGAAGTCATAAATCAAACTTTTTTCCACACTTTTGTTTCCTGAAGCATATGGGAGATGTTCATTCAGACCGATGCAGTGATTGATGATAAATCTTCCAAAAGATTGAAGAGTCTCACTCCTTTCCTTTTCCAGTCTCTATATGTACAAAGCAAGGACCAATAAATATATAGGTAAAATTTTATAACTTTTTGCGGTTTCAAATTAGCATTTTTAAGTAAGATCTTAAAAAAAAATATCATTAGACTATAAATTGATTTTTTTATTTTGTTTATTCAGCTTGTCATTTTAATTAATAGTACATGTAGTCGTAAACATTTTTTCCTGATCTGCTTAGTCATATCAGGACCAGGTCATATACACCTACATAAAACTAGAGGTACTGTGAACAATGAGCTCACTAAATGATACCCTCCCCCCCCCCCCCCCCCCGCCTCCCATATGAGTATTATGGCAAAGTCACATGTTTTGCTGTGGCCGGGAAACCCAAAATATGTGTAAGGTAAAAAAGTAAAATAGGAGGTGCACAATGGCAATATGTAATAAAGATTCTGTGAAAGTTTCATTAAATTTGATTCAATATGGTATAAGAGGAGTTGCGGATAAGAGATGGGTACCCCAAAGCGTAACAGACAGACGGACGGACGTACAGACGGACATACAGATTACAGTATACCCTCCCACTTTTCAAGCGGGGGATATAATAATGCAAGTGATGAAATTAAAAACCGATTTTATATATATAGGCTAAGAGAACTTACAAACTTTTCATTAAAGAATTTTTACTTCACTCGATGTTGGGTTCTTGGATGTTTTTATGCGCCCGAATCGATAGATCCGGGGCATATATTGTTTTCGTCCTCTCTGTCTGTTTGTTTGTTTGTCTGCAAACTTTAACCTTCGCCATAAATTTTGAACCATGAAAGATAAAGACTTCATATTTTGTATGCATATACTCCACTAATTAGGTTCTTTCAAATGACCTTGACTGTGATCTATATGCTAAAATAGTTTTTTTTCCTGCAAATTTAACCTTCGACATATCTATTGAACCAGAAAAGATAAAGATTTCATATTTGGTATGCATACACCACTGATTAAGCTCTTTTAAATGACACCATGGTCAATGACCTTGTGACCTTGACTGTGACCTATACGCTAAATATAGCTTTTTTGTCGGCAAACTTTAACCCTCGCCATAACTTTTGAAGGACGAAAGATAGAGATTTGATATCTGGCATGTATACTTGTATACTGCACTGATTAAGCCCTTTCAAATGACACCAAGGTCAATGACCTTGTGACCTTGACGGTGACCTATATGCTAAAAATGTTTTTTTTTAACTTTGTTGCCGCCGGGTGCATAGTGTTTCACAAACACATCTTGTTTACATCTGTAAACCATAGTTAACGCGATAATTCATATTTCAGAACCGTAAACTATACTTAACACTGAAAACAATCATTTTCGATTCCAAAACATAGATTATCTGATATAGATACTTTCACGATTTGTAAATTATGATTTGAAACTCTTAACTATAGTTAACGATCTGATATATATGGCACGCCAAATTCACAAAAATGATCTAATCATAGTTTCACAATCGATAAACTAGGTTTATCGGTTGTAAACTATAGTTTACGGACTGTAAAGTATAGTTAACAACGTTAATCTATATTTTACATCTGTAAACCATAGTTAACGCGATAATCTATGTTTCACAACCGTAAACTATACTTAACACCGAAAACTATCATTTGCGATTGCAAAACTTAGATTATCTTATAAATAGAGTTTCACGATTTGTAAACTATGGTTTACAACTCTTAACTATAGTTAACGATCGTAAAGTATAGTTAACAGACGTGAATCTATGTTTATCAACAAAATCTATTGTTAACGTTTTCTTACAGACAGATTAAGCTTAGATTCGCATTCGTAAACTATAGTTAACAACCGTTAGATATAGTTTTACAGATGAAAAGTATAGTTAACGAATTGTAAACTGTAGTTTACAGTCGATAAACCTAGTTTATCAATTGTGAAACTATGTTTAGCACGCCAAATTCACCAAAATGAGCTAATCATAGTTTCACAGTCGATAAACTAGGGTTATCGGGTGTAAACTATAGTTTACGGACTGTAAACTATACTTATCAACTTTAATCTATATTTTACATCTGTAAACCATAGTTAACTCGATAATCTATGTTTCACAACCGTAAACTATACTTAACAATGAAAACAATCATTAGCGATCGGAAAACATAGATTATCTGATAAATACAGTTTCACAATTTGTAAAGTACGATTTACAATTCTTAACTATAGTTAACGATCGTAAATTATAGTTAACAGACGTGAATCTATGTTTATCAACAAAATCTATTGTTCGTTTTATTACAGACAAATAAACTTAGATTAGCATTCGTAAATATAGTGAACAACCGTTAAATATAGTTTTACAGATGAAAACTATAGTTAACTATAGTTTACGATTTGTAAACTATAGTTTACAGTCGATAAACCTAGTTTATCAATTGTGAAACTAGGTTTAGCTCATTTTTATGAATTTGGCGTGCCATAGATAGATATAGTTTCACGATTTGTGAAACTATGATTAACAAATCTTAACTATAGTTCACGATTTTAAATAATAGTTTAAAGACGTGAATCTATGATTATCAACAAAATATATTGTTAACCTTTTATTACAGACAGATAACTTAAGATAAGCATTCGTAAACTATAGTTAACAACCGTTAAACATAGTTTTACAGATGAAAACTATAGTTAACGAATTGTTAACTTTAGTTCACGGTTTGTAAACTATAGTTTTTAGTCGATAAACCTAGTTTATCACCTGTGATACTATATTTAGCTCATTTTTGTGAATTTGGCTGCCATACCTATCAATTTGGAACTAGTCCTAAATATCTGCCGTTTTCCAGGCTTTTTTTTTTACGATTTTGATATTTAACGTGCCAGGAAAACGTCAAAACCGGCGCCATTACGAAAACTGGGGATTTCCTGGTCTTCAGCCGGAGTTGATTTTCAATACTTGCGAACCAAAACAAATGCCGAAATTTGAATTTATCAATAGCACAATGTCTCTAGTACGCACCAATATCAATTAAAAGAAAATATCACTCCACATTTCGTTACAGGATTGGCAAGATTTTAGAATGCACGAAATGCTGGACAGTCTGATAAAATGTTTTCACCAGAATGTATATATTTTATAAATGAACCATTAAAACTATATTGGTAAGTACTAAAAGTCTGACATCTAATTCGGTTTGCATGTATCTATAAATTAGCACCAAAAAAAAATCAAAATCATAAAAGGGCCAGGAAAACGTCAGATATTTCGGACTATTTGGAACCAAATTTAAATTTTTAGTCAGTGATTCAATTATGCTGTTGTTCTTACTTCTTTCCAAATATAATGAATCTACACTTACCTGCATTTGATTGAACATTATGGACTCTTTAACGCTACATCTTTTCAACGCGACAAATCTGCCAGCATGCCATTTCACAGAATATGCATCTTATATGAATGTATACATTTAAATTAAAATATGTGGAAATATCGAATAATGTTTAAGCCTAGAAAATCCATTAAATATTGATTACAAAAAAGAAGCAAAGCAAACAAAGACCTCTAAAATATCAGAAGTGGGATCAGGTGCCATGGGTGAATGAGCATCCCTTGCCGACCGGTTACACCCCGCCGTGTGCTCCTTTTCATGATCGGGAAATATGCAACTATTGTAACTTTCTTTGGTATCTTACCTTCCTGCATTAGAAGAAGTATAATCATTTTTTGTCGCTAACGAGCGCTGTATAGCATACGTCCGACTACACCGGTGACGAGTGATTACATTGAATAGGGACTAAATCAGCCGCTTTATATAGGGGTCCTCGGATATAGCAAAAGTCCGATCGATTATGGCGGACACATTCCTTTTACGAATTGTCTTCAGCTTTAATTTGGAACTGAAAATAAAATGCTTTCTTTGGTTGGATTATCATGAAATCTGTGGTATAATCTGTTAAGAAATGTTGTCGTGCCAGTGTTTTTTAAAAAAATGTTATTGTCAATGAAATATATACATCTGTATTTCGTGCCAACACCTACTGCCTAACGGGACCTCGATTTATAAAGTCTTAATCGACGTCAAAATCAACTCCCCACTTCGCGACTCTAGACGCTCCAACCACTGCGCCACGCAGGCGAGGTAAGTTAGGCCACAACAATTTTATTTCTTGTTCGTCGGACATTTGATGAAAAAAAATTACGAGCGGGCAAGCGGTAAAATAATAATATTACTCTTTTGTAGGCATAATTTTTAGGCGGAGCGTAAAATAATTTGAGCGGTCAATTATATTTTTTCTGATTTGAAGAGTAATCAGATTAAAATTAAGATAAATAGAGCGGAAATGGATAAGAAAATAGTACAGAATTCCCATGGTGCGGGAAATTTAAATTAATATTATTTATATAGTTTTGTTTAAATACGAGCGCGCGGGTCCGACGAACAAGAATTTTAATTGGTGTGGCCTTAGTAATAATTATTTTTATTTGGTTGTTTAGTATTACTGTATTAGTAAGTTAGTAAAATGCTAGATCTTAAATTGGTTATAAGTATTAGCAAGTTAGTAATAAACTGCTTTCTTCGGTCGTTAGTATTAGCAAGTTAATAATACAAGAGGCCCACGGGCCTTATAGGTCACCTGAGCATCATGCAACAACTTTCAAATGATTGAATTTGGTTCATGTTTCAATCTAGATGCTATGGCATTCACAATTCTAAAAGAGGCACCATTGCTAATCATAACTATACACTTAGCAATTGTTTAGTTTGTTTACTTAATACCCATAAGCAGGGCAGGGGAACAAAAAAAATGCATTTCGACTAATCAGTATTATTTCCTATCTACCTTGTAACACGAGTTTTGATTGGTTACAAAG